CCAAAACGCACACTGTGTAATTATCAGTTCAGCACGTGTCCCCAAGACTGTACGCCTGATGCTACACGTACAAGTCGGTAACTAACCTTGTGTGATTCAAAACCACAAAAAGTCTGCCAAAACACTTTTTTAAAAAGTACACCTATTTTTGTTTCGCGGACATACAAAAAGTATAATTTTTCTTCGTGAAATTCTGAACGAATACGCATATCCCTCATTCAGCCAAGAGCCTCCCTCCCTCCTCACACGGGGACAATATTAGTATGCTAATGTCGGTTTCGTCTAAACAGTCGTACGTAGATCCGCTTCGCAGCCAACTTGAAGTACCGAGCCGACACGTCGTTCAGTACCAAGACTCATATACCATCCCCGGGGAGGGGGCAATACATAGAACTTGCCTAATGCGGACGTGCCCCTGAAATGAGTTTCGGTTTTTGGATTTTAGGTATAAGTATCGGTCTTATTTCTGGTCAAGATAGGTACATTGTATAAATATCGGTAATATTTTTTCCGTTTTTATACTTATGGGTCCGTATATAAGCGAATATCTCCACCTCAGATCCCGGCCTCAGACCCATATATACATCAACCCGTTAATTATACAAAACAATCAACATTTAAACGGAGATTTAACACGGAATAGAAGAGGGTGCACATTCCTCAGTGAATGTGCTTCTATTGGAGTTGCTCTTCTAATAGACCAAACAAGGCTACTGTTTTATTTGGAATAATTTTTCGTTCACTGTGAGATCTCGTGCAATGCGTGAAAGACGTGGTTCGAACTTCTGCCGCAAAAATGGAAAGATTGATTTTGAAATTGAATTACTGTTTTTTATAGTTCCATTCGTAAATTCCTGTTTTTCAGACAGGGATATTGCATTGTGATACCATTACTCTGTCATGAATTTGTTTTCGCGTATCTGTTGACCGACTTAATTAGTTGATTATTAGCTGAATTGCTGTGTTATGTCTGTCATCGTTTAGGTCTATTTGAAGTTTTGGACGGAACTTGGCTCAGTGATTTGGAACTAATTACCAGATAACCGCCGCTTTTTAGACTACTCATTCTGACAGTTGGTATCCATAGTTATTAATGTAGTGAACGATTAATCAAAAGATATGACGTATTCAGTACTTAGTGTGATTGGCTTTATGATTGAAGGTTACGCCCTAGAGTCTTTTACTGTTTTGTAATTGGTTAGAGTTTTGAAAATGAATAAAGAGAGTTTGAGTTGGTCTTGGCGAATACTCCAGAACAGACGCAGTCGAGAGTCCAGTCCAGGGGTGAGCCTTGAGGCAGTCCAGTCTTGGGCTAGTCTTGGGTCAGCCTTGCGAGAGTCTTGGGGATTTTTTCCCCAGGGCGCTGTGTCTGATAGAGTGCTCGAAAGATCGACTAAGACGAGAGCTGAAACGTATTTCGTTGTGTGTGCCTTATTTGACTGTAAAGTTAAAGTGACTTTCCCGATCCCGTACCTCAAGGGGACGAGATAGAGAGACGAGACGAGTATCCCCTCTGGCAAGTGTGGAGAACCCCAAGAGAATTTAACCCCTGATAACTCCATCAAAATTGACCATCATCATATGTGTATAATACATTATTACTGTGGAAAAACAAATACTTTGGCGTTTGTTGAATCTTGCATTTTTTTTTTTTGGCTATTGTTCTTGTTTCACGTTCGATTTCACGCATAACGCGAGATCTCATAGTGAACGGGAAATTCCCAACTTTCGCAGTATGAGACAAAATCTGGTAATGTAAGGATTGTACGTCATTCATATAGAACAGGGAGATAGCAGTTTGTTCAAATGAACAAAACCTTATTAATAAGTTTATATTGTAAAAAGGCGTGGTCGTCGCGCCACACATGTAAGAGATATGGAAGTCATATGAACAAAGATGACGTCTTTGAACACAGGGGGCAGCAGGCACTATATAGTATCCCTGTACATTCATTGGTTTATTTGCTTTGTCAATGTTTATTTTTTTCGATGAACAACTCTGGTCTGATTAGGATAAACAGCATGTGTTTGATTATTAGAAAACAACAGCTTAAATGTAAATTTAAGATATAGATGTACATTACATACTGACCTTTGACTAAATGCTTTTGAGACATACATGTAAATGGTTTTCGTGAAAACGGAACTCCAGGTATCGTGGCTCACTAAACTATTTATATATTACAGCTAGTATCTACTCTTTAAACACGTGGGACAGTCTGGTCAGTCTGATCGAATCCGGTATCTGAGCGGTCTGTTTTGTGTTATATGGATCCCAATAAAGCTACCTCAGTATATAAGAATTCTCATTAAAGCTTACAGTAACAGAAAAAATAGCGAGCCAATGCACGCGTTTAACTTAGTCTTTCGAATAGATTATGTACTTGATCCACATACAATTTTCATAGTGTAGCCCTAGCATTGGTAAGGTGTTTTGAGTTTTTGCAATATGGTAAGCACTGTATATGGTGTGTATTTCGTTCTCTTTCATTTGCCGTAAAATTATAACACATCGATGATAATTAATAAAATACTAGTATACAGCCATACAGACGTTGTTACGAAATTGCATTATGCATTCAAGCACAAACAACGAGTCCCGAAAGAAACGTGAAAAACGAACCGTGACTTGAGAGTCATATCAGGTGCACATGAAAATTATGCATCTGATATTTGCATACAACAATGTGATGTTACCAGAGTCGTGAATATCATTACAAAAACAAATCTTCGATTTTCTTGCGGACAGATACACATATTTCCGGTATTGTTTTCATAGTTTACATACATTTACATATTAAAATTATTATTATTAATAATCATGACTGAGTGTGATACGATTCGAAAGTAAATGACCGAGATCAGATTCCAGTCGCAGAACTAGCCGAAAGTCTTAACCTAACAGCTCATCAAAAAGAGGTTGAGCACTATGAAGGTTTTTATAGAATCTTCTGTGTTGATCAGCAGATAGCAGAGAATTCTTCACTGCTGGGACATCCATCATAGCGTCCATCCAAGACGTCAGCAACGGGAAACGGTCAGCAGGAAGACAGTCACCATCCAAAACATCCATACCTTCTATACGTTCGAATGACGGCCATAACACGATATCAAGCAGGCCAGGTTTATTTCCTAAAAACGAGAAAATTATAAAAACCATGAATTCTATCGTCCTAGGGTCAGAGACCAGTCATACCATGTATCCATGCCATTCAATCGCACGTGAATCTGACGTCGTATTATAGCGTGCCCATTTCGAGGGCTTATGTTCAATGTCAATTTCACTGACCTCTGAAGTACGGTGATTTTCTTTTCTTCAGCTCGTTTTCCAGTTTATCTATGGATTCAAGTAACAACGCCTTCTGCTCTTCATCTAAACCATCATAAGAGCGGTAGTGTGCGTGCACTGAACGCGCAATCTTTGTCAAGGAGATATGTGTAAGGGAAAATATAACATGGTTAAAGCGGGGGGGGGTCGTCACATGCGCATGCGTCAGATGGCCATAGCGTGTCATTGTTTACAAACAAGCGTCTATCCATGAGTCTTTGCGTTTTTAGCGTGTATTGTTATCATCGTTTGAGACTCAGTTCTCGCGCGTGCGTAGGTGACGACTCTCCCGCTTTAACACTACACTATGTATAGCTTAAATTTTCGTGCTCCTCTTTCCCTCACCCTGAAATTGCTATTGTTGCTACACTTACACCCGCAGTGGGTGAACATGTACGCCTCTCGTGGTACACATTAACATAGGTATTCTCATATCTGAGGTATATATTGCTCGATTTTACTAATCCCTTTGCTGTTCGATGTTGTGCATAACGTCCTGTCGTATATTAAATATTGAAATCATTAATTATATTCTTTGACAGTAATCAGTATCACTGCATGCATACTAACCTACATTGTAATTAACCAAATTACAATCACCCATATACAAGTTACCTTGGTGAGAAACAAGTCTAACAACAGTTTGTCTTGTGCCCTCTGGTACGGTGTCTCGGCAACCAATTTGTAGCCGGGGTAAACCTCGTCTAAGTATACACAGCAAATGACAGATTCCCATACAATCTGATCGTTTATTTCCAGTACTGGTACGAGACCGGTTGGGAATTTTTCAATAAACCATGATGGTTTATTTTTGGTATTGATATTAACAACTTCGTGCCTGAGAAGACAAATGTATGCATGTTGCAATTATATAGGTAACTTATGGTGATCTGTCAATGTCTGTCGGCCGGCTGGTAGGTACTATGCTTCAAATACCAAATTGATATTTAAGTCTAACAGCAGGAATTCAAAGATTTGGGGGGAGGGAGTGCAGTATTCACTTGTTCAGTTTTAGTGGTTGTGAACCAACGATTTGAGACTTACTCTATTCCCTTCAGATTCAGTGCTAAGACAATCCTCTGAGCGCACGGACAGAACCTCATACCATAAAGACGGAGGGTATCTTTCTTCAATGGTGGCAGATCAGAGCCTATAAAGGAAATTATCTTCAATGAAATTTGCATTAACGTCTCAAACAATTGTTCGACTCTAATACAAGGCGAATAATGGGCATGAGAAGTAAGTCTGAAATCAAGTATTCTTAAATCTAAGAACACAAAACAGGCAACATATGTTGAAATCAGTAAGAGACAGAAATATTATCCAAACGCTGATCCACATGTAACACTCGTCGTACGTCACCTGAAGACACGGTCAGGTACTCGTTCTTGTCTGTAAGTTACAGTCTACAGTAGTCAATTGACATCGAGGTCTTTTAAAACCATTTTCACAAGAAAAAAAACCACATGTGTCCTACTCGGAGCATTAACCAGCAACTTTTTAAATGTTCGCAGTTTTCATGATTTTTTTTTTCGAAGTCGTAATTTTATTGTAACAAAGCCCGTAATATAATTTATCTAATCGCGTTAACTTGTGGATTGTTCCTGCAGAGTACCCTGTCAGTCGTGATACAAATTTAATTTTCTTGCCATGCCACCCATAGAATTTACAAAATATCCTGTACAAATATAGAATGAATTTTGAATGATCGTCCCATGTTACAAAGCCGTGATGCCGTTGCACTATCACCTGGAAACATATAATAAAAGAGGCTGTTAACCTCACTAATAATAGTTGTGTTTCCACTGTCATTGAAATATGTTTGATTGTATTGCGCTTCTGAGGAAAAACTATTGCAAATGTATGTCATGACATCATGTGCCCGTTTTCATTCATTTCGTTAATGATAATAATAATGACCACAATCAATGTCTAGGAATACTATGACAATATAACTAGTACTCTTACAACTTGAATTTTGTTTTAACTTGGTTAAAGCAGATTGTTGTCACCTGCGCATGGGTCAGATGACCATAGCGAGTCGTTGTTTACAAACAAGCGTCGACCCATGAGCCTTTGCGTTTTTAGAGTGTGTTGTTATCGTCGCTTGGGACTCAATTCCCACGCGTGCGCAGGTGACGAATCTGCCGCTTTAAATTATACGCTCAATGTATAGCAACGTTGTTAGAAAAACAGCGATGTAAAGTGCAGCATTGTCAAGCGGATTATTCTCTCGATGACAGTAAACACTTATTGTATTGTTGTGGATTATTCCGCCAGCAAATATTTTTAGAATTGAATACCATATTTACGTATTCACAATTTATTTAGGGCGCTTGGGTCGTAGAACTTGAAAAGGAATAATGCTGGTATAGAATTATTTAACGCTTTAAAAATGTTGTGATTCTAGTGTGCATGTAATTCAATGTAGTATATATCTATACTATGGTGTTGTGTCCTAATTGTCTTGTTTCTTTTAAAATACTATCATTCTATTCTTGTCATATAAATCGATCGCGTCGATTGGCTGTTTTTGAATCGCTATGTTCGCTGGCAGGGCACTGATTGGCTACCTTGTGTCCCTAACGTCTCATTAGTATTCAATGTCCCTTATACTGTCACCTGATTGGCTAGCTTTTGTCTTCTTATGTTCCGCCTCGTTTTGTTGTGTTCAATGACCCGTTGTGCTATGTTCCATGCCTTTGGATTGCGGCCAAATCTAGACTTGATGGCACGCCCACAATGTATACAAATTCAATTGCATACAAAATAGGGTAACGTACACGTTTTTTTTTTTTTGAAAACTATATTCTGAATTCACAAACAAGTTAGTTTTGCCACATTAGAGAGAAGCGTGTCAAACTATTTCTTTGAACGTGTAGCGATGCACTGCGTATAAAGCGGTATTGCAATGTGATTTTCACACTACCATATTATTGTGTTTATCAAAAACAGCGGTAAAGAGCGGATCCCGCGTTTCAGTACATATTTTCTCCCCTGACTATAATGAGGAAGATATACACATATTAATACAACTTTCAGACTGTAAACCCACTGTAATTTACGATTGTAATAGTATTCGAAATATGTATAACGTAGATACATAAAGAAACGCAGAAAAATCGGTCACTGGTGGCATAGTGGCTGTCGCATCAGACTCATGATCGGTAGACCCAAGTTCTAATCCTACCTTAGGCTGAACATGAAAAGGGTCGACCCCTACCCTGGGCTAGTGTGCCACAGATTCAATGGGAAGGCCAATTCCACTGGCCGAGATTCATTCACTAACGAATGCGACTTTGGGGAAACCTTGGTTAAGGTCCGCAAGTGCTTATGTTCGACCGAGTCTGCAGTGGTTGATACAAGGGCAGCACATTAAATCGCCCTGTAATGTAGTCCCAAACATGAATATGACTTCTATGACAAAAATGCACTATGTTTCAGCACTAGCGCTTGCAATTTACACATAAAAAAATATCAGGAGAGACAACAGTGACATTCAATGTTCGAGACTGTCGCCTGGCACAAAAAAGAAATTAAAAAAAAAGAAAAGAATGCCTTTCACTATACGTAAAGAGACATCCCATATATCACGCCGACCAATAAAACTAGAAACAAGTCTACCAAACAAAACAACGCCGACGTTTTTGTCAAAGCTTGCTATCCGAAAATAACTTGCTATCCGAAAAAAAAAATCCAGGACCACTTAAATCCTTCCGAACATCCTTTGCGTTTTTAACGTGTGTTTGCGATCGATACACATGACACAAAGATACAATGTTGATGTTCTAAGAGAAACAAAACTAATGCACTATTGAACTCATGATTATAGTTATAAGCAGCATTATTTTAGTTTGAGTTATTTTAGTACCACATACGTTTAATCAAATTTTGTGGACACGAAGTTACAGCTGATGATTTAGTAGTTCACCCATGGCCATGTCTACCTGTATTTGAATGCTCCATAGCATACCGGTTCAAACGATCGACTATATTTCGCTATCAAGCGTGTCATGCGAACATTGTTAAATTCAACCTACCTGGGCCGAGGTGTTTTTCTGACATGACTGCGGTACACAAGAGTAAAAAGCCCCTACTGGATCATCAACAACACTGGTACAAAAATCACCGGTGCTATAGTTTAATACCGTGCGCATGCGCAATAGATTTGTTATGAATAATCGTATGCTATGAATAGAAATGTGTAATGCGCCTGTGACGGATAACATACAAAATACCACGTTAAAGTTAAAGGGCGGCAGCGAGAATGATAACGGTAGTCAACAGCCTATATATAGTACTAATAGAGTCGAACTTCAACGAAGTAATACTTCGAATTTTATATGGAAAAACAATGGGCCAATGGCCTGTTAGAAGTCGCAAAAGACGCTTTGTTATTTGCTCATGGGTAATTCAATGCATACCAATTGACAGTGAAATACCGATAATAGTACAATCACCTCGTCAACTCCGAACGTTACACCCTGGCTAAATCTGCTCAGTCCCAGCTAAGGTGCAAGGTCTGATTTACAATAGCAGTTTACAAAATATGCCACAGTTATGTCGCTAAGACAATGCAGGTTTAAAGCGTGGGAGTCGTCACTCATTAGCCTTTGCGTTTTTAACGTGTGTTGTTATCGTCGCTTGGGACCCAATTCCCGCGCGTGCGCAGGCGACGATTCTCCCGCTTTAAAAAAAATATGTCACAGCTATCTGAGGCCATTACACTAAGCATATGAATGCAAGTTTAGAAATTACACCATAGGCAGCCAACCGAATGAATATTTACATACAATTTGTATGTGCATACGAAATTCATATATATATCTTTTTTATAAACGATACAATGAAATATACTGCACATTGTGTTTAGAGTGTCTTTATACGTCACGGTGATTCTAACAATTTCTTACTTTATTTTTCAAGTTAGAATGGTTTGCTGCTGAGAGTGAGTACGGTCACGGGTGCCCCAGCGGCTAATTGGTTACCATAGCAATTCAAATATTCGCAGCATGTGAAGGATTCGCCGATCATTATTTCATCTAATATTGATACGATTGATACGAAATATTAGGATCTTCTGAAGATGATTGTCTGTTTTGATGAAAATATTATTATGTAATCTTTCTATTGATTCTGTTCTGTTCATTATTACCGATACCAGAAATAGTCATCTAAAAAAGAGCACGTAACATGAAAAGGAATATGAACATTTTACCAATATTTAAAAACATTTAGACATAACATTTACTAACTAAACAAAATACAGACTCGAGGATAGTACGACTCGATAAAGACAATATACATATATTTACCCTGACTTAACGAGGAATCATACAGTTGTAACGACCCGAAGAGCTCATCATCAAGGATTATGGGTATTGTAATTTCCATGTATTCTGTCTTCATGTCCGGGTATTTGGAACAACAATGTGATGACAAAGTCTCCAATCAACTACAAAGTCATTGATAAGTTGGTGAAATGTATTTAGACAATAGATTTGAGCGTAATATGACAATAATTCACCACTTATTGATGTTAGAAATCGCATATAATATTATAAATGGATATTAAGATGCATGTTTGAAGACATAATATCGATGGCAACAGAAAATGTATACTAGACTCATTAATCATTGTCAAAATTGTGATAAAATTAAATCGGGGCCATTGCCCAATGTGAGGGGATGTCATAGGTCGGCAATTATCTCTGATAATGTGATTGATACGGTTTTTTCAGGGAAGTCAACGAGGCTGAGGCCGAATCTAGAGAAAAGGGTATGTATGCAGTGTAACAAAATTTGTATTTTATTAGTACACTTATAACGTTTTTGTGCAGCGAATCAACTTAACAGCTCGTCAAACAAAGGTTTTGTACGAAGGTAGTTCTTATAAAACTCTCTATGCTGTTCGGCAGAGAGAAAAAATTTCTGAACTGCTGGAACATCCACCATAGCGTCCATCCAAGACGTCAGCAACGGGAAACGGTCAGCAGGAAGACCGTGACTGTCACCATCCAAAACATCCATACCTTCTATACGTTCGAATGACGGCCACAACACGATATCAAGCAGGCCAGGTGTATCCCCTAAAACATGAAAATGTGAATATAGTAAATAACACCAAGAGTTAATTATTAATTAATTATTACATGTGATATGTGATCAGCTGGGATGCCATCGCCCTCATCCATTCACCAATTCATTCGCTCATTATTTATTCATTATAATTGTGGGGTCCTTTATTAAACAACATTACATGAAATACATTTAACAAGTATTTTTCAAACAAGATATTCATTCATTCAGTATGTGTTTTATTGTATACTCATAATATATGCTGATTAGTATTACTTAGTGACAACTGACCGATTTAGAGATGTTTATAATTAAATAAGCTTTCTACTGACCTCTGAAGTATGGTGATTTTCTCTTCGTTAACACTTTCTCCATATTATCGAAAAACATTTCTTTTTGCTTTTCGTCCAGTCCATCGGCTGGATGGCTATGTTTGTGAATTACAGGTACCATCTGTGTTATGCAGAATCGAGAATGAGAAAAAAATCATTGACATTCACGAATGTGCTGGAGAAAATCATCGTCGCAAAACGTTATACCAGAATTCCATGTACTTATTGTAGTAAATAACTATACCAGACTTGCGTGTATGTATATGCTATTTTCATTAGAGTTATTAGCAGTAAGGTACTTAAAATACCATAGAATATTCAACGGTATGAATATTTGCAATTAGTTAAGTACATTTATATCCAAAACACTTTTTGTATAAACTACAATTAACACAATACATTGTCATGCAAATTAACCGATAGGCTAAGTTATTTTCCCGGTGGCAGTGATATTGTAAGTTTTTTGTTACCGGTTTACCGAATTCAGAGTTTTCAGCGTGACAAGTTGATTTCGCCAGTTTTACTTTACTAGTTAAATGTTCGACGCTTTCTTATTTAGTTTTTAATAACATGCGCATATTTACCTCGCTCAGGAAAAAGTTTATAAGCATTTTATCTCGTGCCCTCTGGTACGGTGTCTCGGCAGCTAACTGACTGTCAGAGTAAACCTCGTCCAAGTATTCACAGCATATAATGGATTCACATACGATCTGATCGTTTATTTCTAATACCGGTACAAGACCAGTCGGACTCTTTTCAATATACCATGATGGTTTATTTCTCGTATTCATATATACAACCTCATATCTGCAAAAATGTAGGTATGCATATATAATTCACGATTTCACATGCTAGGATCAGATGTGTACACTTTGGACACACGTTGAAGGACAATCCGTCTTTTACTATGACCATTCCCAGTAACTTGACCTTTGTTTTGTTATTTCCTTTATGTCAAATGATAGATGACATAAACATTTATTTGGGCAATATGTAACTTACTCTATTTCCTTCAGTTCCAGTGTTAAGAGAACTCTTTGAGTACACGGACAGAACCTCGTACCATAAAGACGAAGTGTATCCTTCTCCAATGGTGGAAAGTCTGAACCTGTAATAATAATTGAAATAATTCTATACACTATGTGTGTATTACTAAAATGTATGTCGCTATATCTAGAATAAGTGACTGTGTGAATAGCGGGACTTGTTGGTATAGCTGATTTGTTTTTCACGTTGATGCTATTCCAAATTCAACATGCATACACAGAAATAACGCTCTAGATTGAAAGGATCGCAATATTGATTGGGTTATTCTGATGATTCCACACGTACAGACTGGTTGACATACGATTCGATCTATAATCACTGCGGTTATTTGAGTAAAACATGAGTATTTCGGGAGGAGCATATTTCACGTTAAACCTTATTGAATTTATACCTGTCACTATTTCCTAAACTCATACGCATGTGACTTTTGGTATTCTGAAAGTAAAATCAGAATAGGAAAAATGTTTTTGGCACGTGTCATGATATACACAATCGTTTATTTTTGTAATTCTATTTAATACCTGGAAAAAAATCGTCTTGTGACAAGTCACTGGTCATTAAAAATAGTCCGTCAGTTCAATGCCAGTCTGAATAATTGCTAGTACCACTAAGAAACCTCGAAATAGTTAAATTTGTAAACTGCATGTCAAAAAATGTATTGTATATTTATTTTATGGCAGTTATTTGACGCTCCTTTCAAACGTGCTATTAATATACCGGTAAAGGCTATAATATTACTTGAAAATTTAAAAAGTTAATTAATAAGTTTTTTTTTCAGAAAAGGCTTGACAAATATAAAAAAAAACATTCTGATATCTGGGACAGATAATAGACAACCTTTGAGGACAAAACATGTGATTTTTACTACGAATTGTGTAACACTAGGTTTCAAATTGACTCAATAATGATATAAACGTAACGTACACGCCTTCATGAAATTCACTTTAATATGTGTAAGCACAACTATTAAAACGACATCTTTCTCAAAGAACAACAAAAAGGTGTACTCATCACATACTCAATGGTGATTTACTAAATTATAGTCATTTTCATGCTTCATTAAATTTGTGTGCAAAAAGTAATTTGGTGATCATAAAACAACAGTATAAAATAAAACATTTAGATTTTAAAATTGCGAAGATTCGAAGATTCATAAATGGTTCATTGTTGCAACATACGGAATCCTGTGATTAAATAAATGTTTTTTTTTCATCAACACGATTGTCTATTCTTCGATACGAACAACGTCAGTCAAATTCCAACAAATTGGCAGACAGCGTGGCTGTGGTTCAGTCCATCACGTGATGCATACTGCTGTCGTACATTTCAATTTTGAATCAATTAGTCGCCATTGTTGAAATGTACATTATTGATGTCGGGCTATTACTGCTTCATTTACATGTATATTACACGTACCTTCGCCGGCAACTGTTGCTGAAATGGACATACCTGAAGTTAAGTGTTTTCCCGACATGACTGTTTGACGCGAAAATCTTGTTAAAGCATCTGTACATGGACACTTCTTGTCAAGAATACTGACACCGTATATTGGGTGTCAAGGAGTGTGTATATATGCGCAATAACCTGACAAATACTTTATGCGTCGTTATTCTTTTTCGTAGTAGTACATGGAATGTTTGGTTTTGATGTTCGCACGGTATGATCGCATATTTTCACTGGTGAAAAATTCAAAAAAAATATTTGTAATGTTTAGTCTAGTTACTGCATGCAGTCGATTGTCCAAAATAACAATAAATTAGTTCAGTGAGCTTGTTAGTGACGTAACTGTGACGTAAATGTGTCAATTGAACGTTATATCTAATGACAACTTCATAAAAATTATATTTTTGTCTTCGTAAATGCGGCGCAGGGCGAAGGGTTCTGAATATAGAGTCGTTGGGAGTTTGTCACATTATTTACGAATATTAGGTAACTTTGTTGTAGCAAAGCAATTTGTCAAAAAAATAGTGGCGAATGTCTCATTCACATTACGAATACGATTTTGTTAGTATTCCAGGGCGATAGTCCCAGTCAGTGAAGGTCATTATTATGTCTCCCCACTTTTCATTGTACAAAATACATGTGCATGTGGTGATAGCGCATAATACCCCCCCCCCCCGTCTCCCCACCATGCTCGTTCGAACACAGATACGACACTTCCGTCAGAGAATAAAACTGATTTGTGATTGAGCAAATTATGAACGAATGAATATTTCCAGCGGTGAATCTGTGCACGGTAAACGTTTTTTATGTGGGAATTAAAATAAGATGTTATCGTACTACAAGTTGTGTAGTTTGTCAGAAACATTTGTGCAGATTAAAATAAAATGAGCGAAATTTTGCCAAAAGAAACGAAAACTGGTTCTAACTGGTTTATTGAATGTATAGACGACCTAAACTATCAAAAACAAAGTGAGTGGTTCTCTCGCTCTCAAAGAAATTTTGGCGGTCCTTTTGACTAACTTGCTCCACAATATAAGACGTTTGAAACATGTACATGTCTAAATGGTTCCACCAAAAAACACAAGTTTATTTAGTAGTGACGTTAAATTCAATTCACAATAAAATCTCATCAATAAGAGGATTTGGACTATTGTAGTGCTTATAAAATCGTCTGAATTGTTCTGGAGAAACATGGTGATTCTTCACAGCGGGAACTTCCATCATTTGAGACATCCAAGACGTGAGCAACGGGAAACGGTTTCCAGGGAGACTGTCACCACCCAAAACATTCATACCTTCTATACGTTCGAAGAATGGCCATATAATGATGTCAACGAGGCCGGGTTTCTCACCTGGGAAAACAAATATTTAACAATTATTATTATTATCACATCGGGCAAGTCTGCCTGTTTTGATTCATCATACATAAAAAATAAATAATCAATGAAAATAAGTTGGGTTTAATCAACAAAATATTGATTTTCTTATATTTAGACAAATCATGCAGATGCATGTATGTGATAAATTTAAGAATTTTAATCTGCTACATTCATTCATTCATTCATTCATTCATTCATTCATTCAATGACAAAACAGGTTGTATAACAACATATATATCGTAACTGATATATAGTCATCCTTAAGATAATATTAGAAATTTACGTTAATTAAATATATTGATATGGTATATATATATCTATAAAGATCCGCAAACTAGCGATTAATAACAATGGGCACATTTCGAATTTTCGAATGTTGTTAAATTCAGTCATTATACTTAATGAAGGTTCTTGTCCTACTAACCTCTAAAATAGACTGATTTTCTTTCCTTCAACTCGTTTTCCATTCTATCCAAGTGTTGAAAAAAATCATTTTTCTTTTCTTCTTCTAGCCCAGTCACCTCCTTGCGTGACATCATCAATGGCACAATCTGTAGTCAGATGTACAATCGGTATCCTATAAACACTATCCTTTTGAAAATGTCAAATCACAGCAAGATCTACTCCCTGACACTTTAATCTACAGGGCACATTTGTTGTTTCAAGTCTTTTTGAAGCTCTCAAACATGGTGATCGTTGAAATTAACAGAGGTGTTCTCAATATCCCGAAAATAAAAATGGTCGCCGAGATCTCAATGATAGCTAGAAAGCTGCGAGACTTGTTAGTGCCCATCAAATATTGTTCCACTGTCTCCCGCCATCGCGTCCACAGTTTAAATTACCATGGCAACAAAGGTCAGAGGAATTGTGAACGCGATGACAGAAGAGAATAGGATATCATTTGTGAGTCAAAAACAAGATGTTGGCTCTCCCACTCTCATCTAGATCTCGACTAACATTACTTATTTCTCGAAGTGAGGACGAGGTAAGTTAAAATGTATACCTTGCCGCTAAAGAAGTCTATCAGTATTTTATCTTGCGCCCTCTGGTACGGAGTCTCGGCAACCAATTGGTCACCAGGGTAAACCTCGTCCAAGTATTCACAGCACACAACGGATTCATATACAATTTGATCGTTTATTTCCAATATTGGAACTAGACCTTTAGGATTCCGTTCTATAAACCAAGATGGTTTCTTTTTAAGGTTTACATTGACAACCTCGTGCCTGAAAAAAAAAAAAATAAATATTGGTTATTGCTACAACCCGACGGGGAGAGATTGTATAGATTGTATCCCTTCAGCCCAAATACTAAGACAGTTCCTGGCGCAGATGAACGAAATCTCATAATGTGAAAACGAAGTATACTTATGATTTACTTCAGATCCGGGCTTCAGATCTACTGCTAAGATTAATGATGGAGGTGAACGAAAACTAATATCAGTTGTTATATCCTAAAAATGAAGTGTACTTACTCTATTCCCTTTGGATTTAATGCTAAGGCCGTTCTCGGTGGTGATGGACGAAACTTCATATTGTAAATACGAAGCACACTTACCTTATTGCCTTCAGATCTAATGCTGAGACAGTCCTTGGTGCAGATGGGTAAAACCTCATATTGTAAATCTAAGTATACTTACTCTATTCCCTTCACACCCAATGCTAGGATAGTCCTCTGGGCCATTGGACAGAACCTCATACTGTAAATACGAAGAGTATCCTTCTTCAATGGTGGCAGCTCCGAGTCTATGAAAAGTTAAAAGACATTCAGAAATGTAGTGCGTAATGTTATTTATGCTAATTTTATATGTTTATATTAATTATGGACGTGTATTGTATATGTTTTATTTACTCGACTATATCCGTAAACTTGGCAATTACTAAGAGTCGAGCACGAATGAAGTTTGGTGAAAGGTACCGAACTTCGATGAAATAAAACAAATAGCGAACAAGATTACGGTGGAAACAACTAGCCAAGACACCTTTTCTTTCAGAATATCAAAAGGTCTTCCAGTTATTTTACAATAGCACTTTTTTTTACATTATTGGAAATTATCTATATTGCCGACGCACCAACATGTTTAATATGTTTCTCTGAAATATGCACATTTTATGAACCTGATTACTAAAATATTTGGAAAATCTTGTCATGATTATCAATGATATCGTGACGTCAACAAGAGTAATCGTTTTGTAATCTCAAGTAACTATGGGAACACAACTTATTTGCTATATATAAAATACATATAGCTCCGATTTTGACATTGTCGAAGATAGATTAGTTGCATTTTTCAAATGTCGGCGAAATATTGAAATTTATAAAAAAAAAATGAAATGGAAAATCCCCGTTAGATCAATCGCCTGACAGGGTCGGCGATAGTTATTTTGCCCTCGGCGGCTGATTCACTTGTAGTTCGCGTTTGAGTGAATCCGTCTGCGAGGGCGTAACAACTATCGCCGGCCATGTCAAGCTAAACATTTCTTTCAATCGGGTTGCCCACAGAAAGCAAATGTAAAGAACATTGTAACTTTATGATGTTGCCTTGAATTTCACAGTTGTGAATGTTGGACGACTGGTCGGGTCGCCAATCATAAATTCGATACGTACACATGAATTTGATAAGTATACATCAGATGTTTCTGTTTGCAGTTCCACATGTCTTGCTGCTTGGTCATTGGCTGGCCTCAAATTAACCACGTCATCTAATAGCCATGTCTTCTGATGTAGAATTATTGATTGAAGGGCGATTTAGGCCAGCATTAAATCCATGTATTCTAGTTTGCACTTTTTTGCTGGGAGTTTTCATATGGAGCTAATAACCACACCATTATGGCCAACTGCATTGACTGTGCTGCGGGCACTTGGCTGGTCGTGTTTTGGTAGTGGAAGACTTTTCTGTAAGTTCCACCTGAACCAAAAACATCAAAAGCATGGACACGTTCAAACATATCTCCCTGGTGTTTCTCTAAAATTTGTTTCTCTAATTTTGATTTTTTTTAGAAAAGGGGTAAATTGTTATTTACAAATCAGCAGAAAGGTGTTGTTGTCCTACCTATACCAGCCAAGCACCCTCCATGCCACGATGACTGTGACTCAAAGCAGTACGACTTATACGCAGGAGCTCCGCATCGACAAAAAACAAAACACAGTGTCGACCGAAAGCATGCACTGGGTTCGACACGAAAAATATACATCATTTTACCCAGAGTGCACCGCAGCTTTACCGACGCCATAATGATGTCATACAGGACACGTACAGTTCTTGTTATTTCAATCAATCCACGCACACCAAATGCGCATCAAGTTATGTTGTTAGGGGTCCAGGTCTTTTGTTATTCAAACTTCCTGTGCTGATTGGTGGTGGTGTGAACTTTTGCACTGAACTTTCTAAATTTGTATTGGTCAACTGTCATGGCCGCTATCGAGGGTCAAAATTAGACCAGAGGGGGTAATCACCCCGTTCTGAAGGTCTAGAGCTTTCAATTTTTTTACTGTATATAGTACTGCCCAAGTGCAATAAATATCGCAAATAAAAACTTTAGCGGACACGTGACTTTTTCTGTTATGTCCATTTAAATAAAATGTTGACTCAGCATTTTTTTCCTCATAAAAATCTCTTCTTCTCCTGAACAACATGGCCAGTCGCTATGAAACTTAGTATATAGCTTCTACTAACTTAGTTTGGAAAGCAAAATTTGATTGGACCATTAATTTGGTCGCCATCAGGATTTAGTGAAAACCGGAAGCGGCCATTTTGACCACTTTGTGACGGTCTAGAAGTCCCAATTTTCTGTAGCCCATGCCTATCCTTAATGAGGTAAAAGAACATTATAGATCACGTGACTTTTGCCGCTATTTTGTTTTTCGAAAACGAGGCTAAATCCTTTAAAAATCTTCTTCTCATAAAGTTGCTGACCGATTGACATGATATTTGACATAATCCATCTACATGCATAGCTCTTTCAAATTTGTGCCCAAAAAGTTGATTGGTCACGTGGTTTGGCCGCCATTTTGTATTATTAACAAAAATGACCAACAGTTTGCGCATTTCTTTCTCATTGGTGCTTCAGCCAATTAACTGTCGATTTGTATATAACAGGTCATAGCTGCATATGAGAAAAATTATATATTTTCGATCAGTCACGTGGTTTGGTCGCCATCTTGGATTATAAGAAAAACTGACCAACAAAAGTTTAGGCATTTGTTTCTCAAAGGTGCATCCACAGATTAACTAAATAAATGTGTATGTGACATGTGTGGTCATAGCTTTATATGAAAAAAATAATAAAATTTCGATCCTTCATGTGGTTTGGTCGCCATCTTGGATTTTGTGAAAACAGGAAATGGGCAATTACATGTGTTGTATTGGTCCCATCGGGGTGAAAATTTGTATGTGCATTCTAATCTTGAGATACATTTTTCCAACTGAATGGCACATGGCTCGGTCCTGTGGATAGGCGCCCATGGGGCGGGGGCTTCTAACCTCATTAATATGCATAACTGTTATATCTCAAACACTGTTGCAGTTAGGAAGATAGATTCTGTGTTATTATGACAATGTTGAACAAGAGATTTGATTAAAATAACAGATGACCGTATATGGTCATGTGAGCTCATTAATATGCATAAGTGTTATATCTCAAACACTGTTGCAGTTAGGAAGATAAATTCTGTGTTATTATGACAATGTTGAACAAGAGATTTGATTAAAATAACAGATGACCGTATATGGTCATGTGAGCTCATTAATATGCATAACTGTTATATCTCAAACACTGTTGCAGTTAGGAAGATAAATTCTGTGTTATTATGACAATGTTGAACAAGCGATTTGATTAAAATAACAGATGACCGTATATGGTCATGTGAGCTCATTAATATGCATAACTGTTATATCTCAAACACTGTTGCAGAACAGAGCATGGAACCAATGTCATAATGAAGGCATCAAACAAATGATGTAACTGACATAAGAAATGGCCATATATTATAATGTGACCTCGTAAATATGCATAAGCAATACATCTTTAAATTGTTATCAGTAACATGGTTATGCTGATGTTGAATATAAAGAAATATTTAACATATATACACTTCATTATTCAGGGATATTGGTATCAACACCCCATTTCAATGAGTAACTGCAGATAACTGTTCTGACAATTATGCTTGGACCTCGCCAATGCTGCTTGCAGCTTTAATTTATTTGTGTTCTTGTGTGACCTTTGTGATATTGAAAGGTACAACAAATACGTCAAAGTATTTCACTGTTGATATAACACGTACTTGAACTATTAAATATCGTTCGTTGAACTGAGAGATAAAGCTCATATTTCGAGGACAGTTTAAGTTTGTAATGATAGAAAAAAACGTAATTTCTTCTTCCCCTGATTGATTGATTGATTGATTGATTGAATAGTTGGTTGACCAACATTTAATGTCAGATACCGGAGACGACGGATCTGCATCATTGAGTTTAAAATGTTTCCATAATTTAAAAATCAAAAGCTGAATTATATGCGGACATTCGACTTGCTTGTCCAATTGCTTTTAAAGTTTTTAACCTTAAGTTCAAGCGAGAAATCAGTTAATAACCTACCTGCGCCTAAATGTTTGTCAGACATGGTTGGTTCTGTGAAGCGAGCTGATTTCCAGTGAGTAATGCGATATACCGTACAACTTGTGTAAACTGTCAGTGTACTGGAGCTTCTCAGGGCGCTTATCTATTTCTTTGTAGGGATGTTCATTAATACTGAAATACGTCAATATACTAAACTATTCACATAATTACATATATGATTGTGATCGTACTCTATTAAAACACAGGTCGGTTCTTTAAAATAATAACTTGATTTTGAATCTGCGCAGTGGATGTTGTGCGTAGAAATGTGTCACCAGCAAGATGACGCCGATCTACCCAGACATTTATTTTCGCCTTCCATGGTTTAACCCTTCTTTTTGTATGATAAAAGCTTTGTCGTCGTGACTTTGCGAATTTTTCACAGCTGCATTAATTTACATTTCGCTAATCTCCAAGGGGTCGAGTGTAAATTCTGATCAACCCTCTGCGAGGGCTTAACCCCCTTCTTTACCTCTATGGGCTACCGTCACAGAATGTATACTTACGTTTGGACTGCTTCTGTACATTGAAACAATCGCGTTTAGTTCAATCAATACACAACTAGAAGTTACTTGGTGTATTTTTGAAAATTACGTTTTCAACAATCACATTTCTTGATTAGAAATATAATACAAACAAAAATAATAGAGAATGGTTTCATAATGTACATGTGTATCTACTAGTATTGGTTTTCCATGTATAAGATGTATGTTTGAAATAATCTGCGATCGTCAGCAAAAGTAATCTGGTAAGAAAACAAACCATTGTGGCTTACTGTCATATTATTAGCCTCTGACATGAAGGCGTGAGTGGCGACTTCACCGGCCGGGGTAGAAACACCGCGGAGGGCGCAACTCACGGGACTTTATCAGCATATTCAACGTAACTAATGTGTAAATATGACTGCTCGCGCCATCAACATATGATAAAGCTACACTGCAGTATGCAATAAATTTTGGTTCTTTTAATAAAATCAAATTTAGCTGATACTGTTCTCACTGTAGAGCACAGTGGATTGGAAAGATACGTAATCAAAGTGAGCTGATGTGGTTTCTATTGCAGAATTAAATAATCTGAAGTTCCTTCAATTGAATTAAATTTAGGCGATAAAGACAGTGAAATGTACCCCCCCCCCCTACTCATCGAATACAAGTCGACTGATAAGGTTCACACTGTATAATTAAATAAGGGAGTTTCCTCCACAAAATCCAATTTAGTTAAATTACCGGTACATCTCCACTGTAGAACACAAGGTGATCAACTCTGCCAAGGTTGTAGAAAGGGATTTTTTCTCTTACCGTGTTAAAATTTGTCTTTCGGGTTCCCAGACGCAACGTAATTTACGTCGACGTAACAGAAAAAAAGCTATGAACACGCTACGCCGACGTAAGGGTTTATATCACCTTGAAAGGTGTACGAACTTGCGTAAATATTATATGGTAGTTAACTCAACGTAAAAATGGGCGAGGACACATTACGCCGCCGGCGTAAAAGGGATTCAGTGGTGAAGGGATTCAGTGTTCATTTCATTGTAAATCTGTAAAATATATTACCAACACAATAAAGACTTTCCGTTTTCGACATTGTGAAATTCTTTCGTTTTTATGCAGCAAAATACGGTGTTTTTTCTCATTGTTCATACATAAGATGCTGAACACACTACATATTTTGTAATTTTATTCAGCTTCTTTCAGTTATAATTCAAGACAAATAAAAGGCAAAAATATAGAGACTATAGTAAATTATCTTTTTTTGTAATATTCTTGTGTAATCGGTAATTGTGAAAATTATTCATAGGCGCATAGGGAATACATTTCGTTATAATTTATTCTTGATATAAGTTTCTGAATTATCTTGTCAAAATCATTTTTTTTCAGGATTTTTTGTCCCAAAAAAAGAAAGAATTTCCTTATCGTAGTTTTTACCACTTCGTTTCAAATATTGTCGTGCTAATTTGTCGCGATCGGTTCAATAAAACTGTTTATGACTGAAGTTAAGATTATTTTCAAATACAGTTTTGATGAGCCGCAATTTGAATTATTGTATAATTAAACGTCCATATTTGTATATTATTTCCTCTGAAGTATACGTATGCCTATATGCTAAATTACGGTTGAAACGCAACATGTTCAATGATATTTAGGTTTAATTTTTCAAAATGCAAACTTTCATAATCATACCAAAGTTCCAAATGGTTCCTACATTAATTATTCATGTTTCGTATTTCAATGGGACACAGGTTAAGACACGCATTCTTTTAATTAGCTAGTATAATAACAATTTTCAGCTACAATAAAAACATATTAGTTTACTCGCTACATACTACTGTGACTAATATCCTCGGGGGGGGGGGGGGGGCGCTACGTCACAGAACGTTCTGAATTCACAAATGAGCGTTCATACTGATGAACAAACACACCAATGTGAAGCATCAGTCAGAGGGTTCATCGAGGGTGGCAGTCCGAAAGAACACATGAGAGTGCACATTGACAAGCAGCTGTGCCAATGTAACGTATGCAACATTTTACCTGTCTCTGCAGGCTGAAAATTCATATGTGTAGTCATACCAATATAACGTATGCCACACACACTTTTCCCTGGTATGCCACTTGAAAACACACACAAGTACACACTGTTGAGCATCGATATGGTATTGTAAAAATTGTCTGTGTTAATGTCTTTCCAATGTTATTCGGTGACCACAATTCATATAACTAATCCATCTACTTAAATAACTGTTTTGAAGATTCACCAAGAGCATGCAATAACAATTATGCAAATTAACTAATTGAATTCACACACTGATTCAACCATGAACTGCACGAACAGTATACACATGTACAAAGATTCAATCCATTTGAGAAAACTGCTATCAGCTATAGCATATGAAGTTTCAACCATTGACGAAAACTTGTCATGAGAAAAAAAAACAAGCTGAAAACAGTTAATTAGTAAGCTGAGTAATATGGACAGATTACTTAATTAAATATTATTAGATATTGATCACAAACAGCAATCATGGATCTAATTTCAATGAACTTGTTTAAACAGGTTCAAAACTGATTATGCAAAATACCTAATTAACATGCACAGAATTGCACAAAAAACTAAGCAGGCCTGGAATTCACATTATAGTGGCTGTATACCAACCCAGCTAGTTCTAGATATATCAGAGGAACAAGATTTGAGACAAACACACACACACACACACACACACACACACGGGTACAACATTAAACCCAGTTAGTGTTTTGCACACATAAGAGGCCAACTATAGGGAGATCACAGTTTGATTGCATCTAAATAATATTAAAAAATAAACACCAAGTCCTTTTGAAAAGTATCATAATTTATTGCACTCCATTCACCTTTTTTTTCAAATATTTTTAGGCTCTCGGCATGTACATAAAAATAAAGAGAAATTGAAAACAGATAAAATAGTTAAACTACCTACGAAACAGCTACCCAACCTGATATATAAACGAAGAAAATGAGGTTGAATAGAAATAAAAAGCTCTCTTGAAAGAAACAACTGGCAGGAAATGAAAAAACATGAAAGAATAGGTGATTTTCCGTACAATTGCGAGATCTCGCGAGATGCATGAAAGACGCGCGTCGAACGTCTGCCGCAAAAATCGAACGATTTGATTTTGAACTAGAATTTCTTTATTTCGTAGCTTACATTGACCGGCCGATCTTCGGCAGAGGAATATTGCTTCCGAATACCCTTACTTAATCATTATTAAGCATGGAAATGTCCCCCAAAATACTTCGCGTTTGTCGAATCCCACGCGATGTTTGACGCGACTACGACGCTATGACCTTTGTTTGTTCTGTTTTTACGTTCGATTTCACGCATAACGCGTGATTCTCGCAGTGAACGGAAAATGGTCTATTGAGATTACATTTTGTTGTGGTTCAAAAACAAGTTTGTGTGAAAACAAATGCAACTTATCAGTGATTACAAGGTAAAGTTAAAACAATGGCTGACTTCACTACACTTGTTTAGTGAGCTGAAAGTAGTCAGTGGTGGGACACGATCTGCAGTTTTGCACGAATTTTATATATGCAAGAAGCGCCCTCTAGTGGTACAAACAGCACCCTCTAGTGATCACAATCTGATGCAGATTGATCATTGTAAACTGCAGTGACCTTATGGGCACCTCCTTACACATTTCTCAGACACAGCTCCATGCAGTTTTGTAGACTTACTCAATGACACCATAATGAAAAAAATAAATTAGATTAACTACCAATATGCAATCACGTTGGTAACTGAATGACAATATTTTGCTAGTATTTCAAAATATACAATCTTGAGTGCTACATGAATAGACAAACAATACAGACCTACAAGATGCATGGTCTTTGTAGTCGTACTAGCAGAATTCGTTTCCACAAAAAATGTTTCAACATTAGCTGATTAATGACAATTGCTAAAAACTGAAGAAAAACTTAAACTCTGTAATGACGAAATATAGAAAATATTAGCTCATGAGAAAAATAACATTACAACATTTCAAAAGTTTTAACTCTTGTATGACCAGATGCCACTACGACAAAAATTACATTTAAACTTTTTTTTTTTAATTCAGACATGTACACATGTTTTTATACAATTTTAAACAAACCAAAGCGGTGATCATTGGGAAACTTCTAGGGTATTAGATGTGAGTGACATCTGGCCATAAATTGGTATAAAAGGCACTATAAAGTTAGAAATATACAAACTATTTACACTTTTTTTTTAAACATGAGTAACACAGCCATCGCGGCATGGCATGCTCAATATGCTGTCCTGCGACGTATACAACGCATACGAAATGCATCGTTTTCACACAAAATTCAGATATTTGAAACGAATGTGATGTGTTAAGAAACAGGCATAAGATAATGAATAACTGAAGGCATATAAATTGAATTTTTAAGTGCCATAAAGTGAGCATACAATTCCTAAATTATGAAGTAGGGATTACAAAACCACCAGAAAAAAACAACGAAATCTGATTCAAATGTTGATAATCATTTTAGTAGATTCATCCAGCAGGACCTGTGACCAATTTTTTTCTTTCTTGTTTTTCAAAATCAGTTGACGATATGTACAAACAATACCTACAATGATCTTGCAGTGATGGCTTCAAAAATACAATTCCCCAGGCAGCATGTACTGATAACACAGAGTAGAAACTCACATCCAATAAATGTGAAGATGGAAAGGGGTGGCATTTCGTAATCCCTGGTGAAATTTTACTCTGCCCTGCTATTTTCGCCAAATTTCCATTTAACTTTCAAGGCACTGTTTAAAAACTTGCATATATGCATTTTAGAGAAGTCCCTGAACAACAACAGCTACGGAGGGTAGCCGAAAGTGATGGACGCTGTTTGGTTGCAGAGAGTAATAAAAAAACTGATTTCTTTTTAACATTTAAAAATATTTCAGATCAACTTTTTGAATGTGGCGTGTTTTACACAAGTGTACATGCAGTTCAATTTACGTGTAACAAACACAATACTAATAACTAATACCTCTGACCTTATATGTACAGTCATTTACATGCTTCTTTATCTTCTAGTTATCATCTCGTATTAGACGTATTTAGAAATTGTATATGTTCATTTCCACGTCTTATAGTAGTTTTCCAGAAATTCATCCATTCCTGCTGCATTGTAGCCACATTTATAAATATTTCAGTAGGTCCTTGTTCAATATGCACACATACGTACACACACCACACGGACACACACACGCACATACATACCGACAGACACACACATTGTACACACGCATGCACATACACAAACAAACAAACAAGATGACCGTCTGCTGAACTTTCACAATGTCCTTCTAAAGTGTAGTCTTGCTACAAACGAGGGTTTGCTTGATGGAAATTATATAAAAACTTGTAAAAGCTTTGAGGGAATGTAGAGATTCCATCTTAACTTTGCATTTGTGTCTCACTATTCCGGCCATTATTGAATGCACATTAAATCCAGGACGATCAAGCTGCTCGTAACACACGTTAGTTAACTTGACATCAAACAGACGTAGTTGATTTCATTTTGTCTCGTACATTGTTAAGCACGGCCATTGTAGTGTTTATATGGCAAGCATTGATAAGACTGAAGTCGTACAGGTTAACCAAATGAAACAGGAAATTACGATAAAGTTCCTTCCTGATTATCTCCTCTCCTTTATCTACCACAAATTGTCGACACGCTACAGGCATCTGACCATCGGCGATGTAGCTGCAAACGAGAACATACACAATACTGTAAATCAGTTTATTTTCGTTTCTAAAAATTTAAGATCATTTTTGCAGTTGACTTGATACACATTGCATGGGTTTAAATATGAGAAACAGAAGTGTGTCTAAGGGCAAAAAATGTGACAATTGTACAGGCTAACACAGCGTCAACCAGGTCAGGTCAGGTCAGGTCAGGTCAAACACAAGCACCTACGAACCGGACCATGGTTACTCTATAATCACATCTATTATGGAATGACTTCCGGCCAGTGGATTTGGCCTTCATATTAGTCTTCTCGACTGTCACCGGGGGGGGGGGGGGAGGGGTTGACCTCTTTTCTTGCATGTAATCACAGTTAGAATTTGAAATTGGCTCTGTCAATCATGACTGAATTCAAAATTCAATAATAGACAAGTCAGTGGTTTCAGTATCAAATGGAATTTTCTGAGTATATCAGATCATGTACTTGTTATTTGTTTTATTTTGTATTTCTGATTTATTTTCCAATGGGCAAATGGTTGCCCCAATGTGGTTGTCCCATGCTAAATATGGTTGTCGGGACAACCATTAAAATCTCAAGCTCTGTAGCCAATGAGAAGTTGTAGAAAAATAATGTGCACAAAATTGCTCACTTACTTGTGTTTCATAACGTGCAGATTCCACAACTTCATTAATTCCTTTTCTCCCTCATTAACATCGGTGAACTCGTCAATCATCAATTGAGTTTTCTTCCGTAACCAATCAGGATCAGTCTCCTCCTCGCTATCAACCTCAATCTCCTCTGGGCGGACGGGAATACACGTGTGCGTGTGATAATACAACCTGGAGAAGCAAATGACAAAGTGCTTACAGATTATCAAAATTAACGATACATTAATAAAGTAAGTTATGTCACATCATAACTTTGATGATACTGTAGAAAGGATGATTCCGTGAAAATAAAATCCAGCGAATATACTTTTTTTCCCTACAATTCACATTAAACTCATCAAAAATCAGTGAAAATAAATTCCATACAAAACGCCCAAAAAGCCTTTTCAGCGAAAGTTAATTCCAGTGAAAAAGAAAGTATTCCACAGTAGTTTGAAATTGATGTTCATTTATTAAAATGTTTATAAGCTAATGGTACAATTAATAAATGAAAAAAATCCGCCAAATTATTATGTGGCTGTTTTGTTTTGAAGGCGGTTGTTTTGGCAGTAAATCAGTATATAACATCGTGAGACTAATGAACATACTCCTGGCTGCTCCAATAGACACTGCAACAATACAATGCGAAAGGTTTTATATTTCAATTCTAACTATTACCGGTATAAACTCTTCACTGAATTCTTGCTTTAAAATATGTCCAATTTTCATTTTGTAATTCGTTCAAATTTATTTTAGGAAGTATTGCTTGGATATCTTGGCTTACTGGTATCATGCAGACAAATTCAAGAGTACATCATTTACTAAATACAAAAATAAATGAACAGATTTTTTAAATTTAATTTGTCAATAATGTATCTTTTAGTAAAATGCCTTCTTCCATAACTGACAAATAATGGACAAAAAAAAGTATTTTTCACGTGTGACTAAGCTCATTAATATCCATGAGCGACCGGCACTCTCATTGGCTGATGAGATCTCAGGACTACATGCAACTGACATAATTTTTTAATAAGATTTTGCGTTCAATGAATACCAGTCTTTAACGTCATGCCAGTTCATTCAGTCTGCCTGCTTAGACTTCCAGCATTTTTGGCTATTTGTGTACAACGTGATAACAATGAAACAGTTGTGTATTCAAATAGCGATACCAGCCAAAATCGCTCTGTATGCATGCATCAGATACATGAATGCAGCTTCCAAATAATAATCTGTGGGATAAACACAGGCTTACATTCACCTGTATATTGAGAGGATATATGTTCTCCTTGGGCACAAAGGCCTCTGTTCAGGAAGCAATACTACATGGCTCTAAGACTATATACATGAATTTATTCACAATTAAAAGAAAGAAATTATTAAAAAAATTACATTTATAAAAGTGAAAAATAATAACCAGAAAATATTGATTGAAAGATTGATGATATTCGAAGGGTTATCGAGTAATGAAGTTTCTGTGGAATCTTATCCTCACCTGTTATGTCCGGATACAAATGGTCTGGTTGCATCTACCTCTTTATCATCTGGCTCTAAAAACTCTGAAAGGCTTGGTCTGGGTCTGCCAGGTCTGTTAGAGACAAACAAAAGAAATTGACATCCCTGACATGATTACGAATGCAATTGGACAGAAACTTGTCTCCCTCTTGAATAAAATTAGATTTCTGGAGGCAAAAATAAATTTTTGTGTATTTCAGCAGCATTTTATTATATGGTACATAAAATCCCATCTATACAGACAGTGTAAAAACCTAATTTTATATTTCTATAAACTGAATGCAACCTCACAGCCAATCACACATCATAGAATTCATCACATTTTTGGCAAAAACATTGAGTGGACACCATTCATTTACTAGGTTTATCTTATAAATCGAAAAATTTGTGTGTAGTGGGAAAATTCTAAATGTTATTGAGAAAATGCATCAACCAAACTTAATCCTTCAGTTGAGTCTAAGCACATACACCGTATTTGTCTGATACCCTGCCCTGGGCGATGTTTTGTATGACGGGTCATGTTTTTGGCTGAGTGCTGGCTCAAACTTGCTCTGTGATTGGTCAGATTCGGTAGCCAATCAGGCACAATCTTCTTAGTAGCACATTGAACGCCAAAGTCAACCTTTGTTTACTTCAAAAAAAAAATATGTCTATATTTTTTTCTCAAGGCAAAAAATAAATAAAAACATGAAATTATAAAAAAAAATACATAGAAACATGGGAAATGTTGGTGTTCAAAAAGCTGAATAAAAGGGTACTGGGGAGAACTATTGAAAGCATAATAATTTTTTGATTAATTTGTCTGTACATGGCAACCTGAGACTATAATACTATTAGGAAACATATACTGACGTAATAATAATCAATATATATATATATATTTTGCAAAGCATCTTAACTACTCCAAACTACAATGAGCAAACAACAGCTGTTTCTGACAACCCAGGGCAGTTGCATCAACTTTCTCACATTGGAGAGGAATCGACTATAAAAAATATTATAATACCGAGCACTGTTGATTTTTGTAACAGTGCATTCTCATTAGTCGATTTTGTAACACAATTACTGAACAGTGCTTGTGGTCAATTACTGAACAGATGAAAAAAACAAATCAGTTGTTATCAAATGTTATCCTTCTTTCGTTTGGATCATTTAACCTTTTTCACCCAAATTGTTCTGCAGTTTTTTCTTAAATTCTTCAATATTTCTGAAAATGAACATCAATTTTAACAGACAAAATTTGAGTCAATTTTCAAGCTTTAATAAAAAAAAAATGGCTATATTTGTCTGAATCTAAACAGAACTATTTTGTGAATTTGTGATGAAAAAAGGAACTGGTAATGAAAAGGTTAATTAAACAACAAACTCTAATCTAGTTTATTTTCATGTAAATACTACCTCAGAGCATGTTGTTTGGTTGTGAACAATCTACATGTAATACAAATATAAGTGTCGTCAACATGCTAACCATGTAGTTCATTTCTACTGTATGTATACACATTTTTAGTGATTCTGGGATATTTTAACTTAAATATTGTTCAAATACTTAAATAAAACAGGACTCCGACAGGAACGTACATTTAAACAAGCCAGTGTTCTCCCCAGGAATTTAAACCACTGTGGCGGCATAATTTGCATATGATTTGCATAACATTTACGTAATAATAGAAATTGACCAAAGCACATTTACACCCACACAATAAACAACATATATTTTCAAAAACAAAGTGGCAGATATTTATTTGCTTCACAGTGTTATAAACACTTTTTTTGGGGCACTTTTGTAATATTAATGAGCTCCGTCACAGGGAAAATATTTTTTTTTTGGAGTCAAAATATTACGTTTCACAATTTAGAAGAGTTTAATTTAAAAATGAAACATTCTCGAAATGCAAATGCTGCAGACTAAATAGAAACAAATTGTAAAAGGTTAAATGAAACTCATTTGAAACGTTTGAGCCAGGATTATGTTCACCGCTTTCATGATCTTATTTACTACAAAATTCTCCTTCAAAAAATCAACCACGTAATTATTTGGCGGATTGCTGGTTATTATTCCGACCATCAGCTTCTAGAACGTTTACATTTACAGTAAATGAACGAACAAATAACACTTCCGAACGATCATCAAGTTACGACGTGACATAACTTACTTCGCGATGTTTTACACCAGTTATACCAATAATTCCTCTTACTCGGTCATGATGCCATGCAAAAATTAAATACTTCTTTTTTTTATATGAAAAAAACGTAAAATTTGAGCTAGTTTTATTGGGAGAAATTATTTTTGATCACTCGATCACTTCGGTGAAAAACACAGACCGCCATGATAGTTATGACGCATTAGTTGACCGCCATGTGTCC